GTGCGATTACTACAAGGGCGGCCGAAGGGAGGAACACTAACCGTGAGTAGCCTGCTAGAGCAACATCTCGCTATCGCGTAGGTTGGTTCTGGAAGTCGGTGAGGGTCCTGGGCTCCGTTTCCCAAAAAGACTGGCACTTTCCACGCCGTGTAGGCGCACATATATCAGCTCTCTATCTTTGTGCATGCAGGTGCGGCGAGAAACGTGGGGAAAGCTCGGGGATCATCTGTGTTGAGTTTCAGCCAGCAAAAAAAAAACCACGAGGAGATGTTCTCCGGCTGTTCGTATGCAAAAATCGACGGACAAAAGACTGTCGAGTATATATGGGCGTTCGAGAAGCCATGCTCAGTAGCCTAAGGTTGTGAGAGGTAGGCTGCAAGGACAAACAAGGAGACGCTAGAAACAGCGCAAGTGCATTACGCTAGCCATTCCAAGATCCCAACCATCGGTGTTGAACTGTTAGACCTTCCGACTTCTTCAAATATGTGGCAATTTGATATCTATCAACGTGTTAGTCGTGCTGATCTCATCTTTGCGATTGTCTGAGCAAATGAGAGATGAACGGGATGATGGCATTTGTTCGTTTGGGTTTAGACGTTCGCATGTGCTGAGGGGAGTCGGTACTTCACGAGAATCTATGCGCGCAAAAGAAAGACTTCCAAGGTTGTCATGTTCATGCGGATGCAAGTGTTATCGTATGGATGTATTGATCCTGCCTGTACCAAGAGCTGTAAAATGCAGGTGTGAGCCCCTCTTGTGTACTTACCGGTATAGTAAGGAACGACGCAGCAGTCATTGGCTTCACCATGTAGCAGTTGCATGCGAATTCAGTGCCGTACGACTATGGTCGGGATAAATTGCGTCTCATCATAGACCACCGGGGGACCAAGCGGAACGCGCAAATCGATAATCATCCCGTGGTCAGTGTGGTGATTGTCTTCGAAAGCACGGTAGGCGGTGCTTGACCGTGCTTCCATTGTATTCTACAAAGGCACCTTTATCTGCTTGGTTTCAGGTTTGCGTTCGACATGCGATGATAGAGACACCTCGTCGGCATCACTAATTCACTCACTAAAAAAAGATATTGGACATAGCATGGCCATTTCTTCTACCTTCGTTCTTTACCATACCTAGAAACATTTCTTTACTTCGTTTTATCCAACACACATCGACACCCAGCATGAGTCCTATCATTAATATACCCCATGTATGGGCACGCGCAAATACAGCAAATCCAGTAATGTCAAATCTCGAACTCAACACTCTAAGCACAAGGCCCACGCGCCCTTCAGCGCAGTCAGCGTCGTTACCAAGAGCACTCGTCGTAGACTCGTCAACACCACCACCGCCGCCGCCGCCGCCAGCGGTCCCATCAGCCATGAAAAACGAAACACCGTCTGCACACTCAATAGCACGAGGGGGACCAGGAATGACTGTCGGGACAAAGATTGGCCTTGGAATGATACCCGTCATGATCGCCTTCTGTGCGATATGTATCTACACCGCATTCTGGTGGCGCAGACGAAAAGCGCGGAAAGCGAGGCAAACTCTGCAAACACCTCCTCCGGCCCCAGAGAAAGACTACATGATACGTTTGCCGTCATTAGACAGCACCCGAAGAGGAAGCAAGATTTTCAACATGTCCGCATTCAGCACTCATGTCTCTGACGGCCGGCACAGAGAAGCCCAGGTTCTCGGTCAAAGCAGAGAGTACATTCGAATGGTGAATCAAGACCAAGAGGATGATGGCGCGACACCAAAGACACCCGCGCGCAGCATATCGGAGAAGGGTCGCTCCGGTCGAGACTCGCCAATTGATGGGGCTAGCCCATTCCGACTAACACACAGCGAATTGGCCAGGAGGAGTTTGGGATCTGAAATATCAGAACTATGGCCCTCTCCACCACCGACAGCTTGGGTTCGGCGGCAGGGCATTTTGGATTCCCTACCGGAATCGCGATTTGGTCGGGATATGAGCCGGAGATCATCACAACGTAGTACCAATTCCAATTACAAGCGGATGAGCGACGCAAGCTCGGCCTTCTGAGTTGCTGGAGAGGCGTTTTGGTTAATGGGTTGCGGGCAGGCGGATATCAAACATAGACTGGGTCTTCCCTTACGACTGGACGACTTGCGTAATGGTTCAAGTATACCCACAGGTTGCAGGCGTCCAGGTTGGGGACACCATCATTCACTCACTTTTCTCTGTATACAAGTTAACATTTGAATTATTATGTTCTGGTCAATAGACACACCCTATGCTTTTGTTGTGACCGTGTTCTCAAACTCATCTTAGCGGCCCATTCGGTATGAGCAGCCAACTTCAGCATCTCGTGGCAGTCTACCTGCTGACTGCACTTGGTTCTGTCGTGCGCGCTTGATTGCGCTTCTTCGCATCCTCCCTGGCAGTATCCGTAGAGTGTAGACAGCGTCTATCCCTATTAATCAGAGTATGGGTCTGTCCTCGCAGTTTCTCGTTGTCATACTGCTCAGTCGCTAGAGGCGCACCCTCTGCAGCCGCAGTTTACGCATTGGATCTCCTGGTTCTCTTTGAGCTGATCCCTGGGGACACGGCAAATGCAGGTCGAGCGGAAGTTTGTCTCCTTGGTCTGGATGCAGCGCGTGCAGCATAGCTACTCACGAGTTAGTTTCATTCGAGCTAGGAGGTTGCCTGTGTGGAATGGACTTACCTTCTCATAGCCTTGCTTCTTCCACTTGGCGATCAACATGGCATCTGCATAGCCGTTCTTAAGCAAATAGTCGTAGAGCTGCTTGCTGATGGCCTCCTTCTCGTAGTATAGGTCGTAGATGTAGCGCGAGCGTTGGTGGGTGATTTGGAAGATGGGCCACGTCATTTCGTACTTCTTCTTGCCCTCGTGCGACGCGTTCTCGGCGTCCTTCATCTTGTTCTGGAATTCTAGGAGGGTGTCCTCGATGTCATCGAAGCCCTCCGGCGGGGCCTTGCGCGAAGCGCGTGCGGTACGGACTGGAGGCATGGCTGAGCTGGTTGTGGTAGGCCGAAGTCTGCGAATTTGGCGCGAGGTAAAATATCGATTATGGCGACAGATGCGGTCGAGCTTGGAGTATGCTGTAAAGATGTTGAGGGTATTTGTGGATTCAAGAGAGAAGCCTTCGATAACTTTGCGACTGCGCCGGGAGTAAAATCCGCGCTAACGCCAGGTCTTGGCATTCCACTCCCGCGAGCCGCATCGTCACTCCAGCTCCGGCTTCAAGACGACTGGAAGCTCCCCAACACCGCCAACATGGTCATCAACCCCACCTACCTCGCTCAGCGCACGCGCTCCTGTTAGTCGAACACGCTCACGGAACATTGGGAGAATGGAAAGGCTAACGCGGGCACAGCGGTCAACTGGACTGATGCGAAGAAGAGGGTCATTCACAGCTACCGGGACTGGCTCCGGTCGGTACGTTAACTCCCGGAGATTACAAGTCTTTTGAAAGGAATTTGGGGTCTGGATACAGCATGTGTACGGAAAGAGCTGGAATGTGGGAGGGAAAGCGTGGGATGCGGAGAAGCGGGCAACAGGACCTGGAACCTGGGCTGACAATAACTCTACAGGCTCCCGAAATCCAGACCATGTACTCGCTGAACATGCCCGTATCTACGCTTCGAACGAAAATGCGGCAGGAATTCGAGCGGCATCGATACGTGAATCAACTCAAAACGGTAGATGTACTGCTGTTCAACAGTCATCAGGAGTTCCAGGTACACCACGGACCAACACGCTTTGATAGTGGGGAAGGTACTGATAATCGTACAGGAAACACTCAACTTCTGGAAACAATTGTCACACGTTCTCAAATACTTCCGCGCGGAAGAGGATCCCAAGGCCCGGCTACCAAGCAACTTCATCAACGGCTTCTTGGAGGTACGCTCACTCTTTGCGTTAATACTCTCGCGGAATCATATGCTAATGCGCATGTATAGGGTCGCAACTGATTTGTCCATTACTACCAAAGTCTGGGGACAATCAAGAACAAAATTCGGTGTATATAGCTGAAGACAATACCATTTTCCTTTCCTTTCGCCAGTTGACCATGCTATCCTTGAACGCCAGCAATGCAATACTCTCGTAACTATAGGCGCGTTACGGACCTACTCTTCCATCTTGTTCACAAAGTCATCGCGTGCAATTGTGAACTTCTGCTCGACGACATCACACATGGCCATGAGGTCTTCAAGGCCCTTCTCCAGCACGGTGTATACGCTGACACCATCTAGTGAAGTGTTAGCCGTGGAATCAATTTAGCCGCGCATGCGTGACCTACCGTATGTCTGGATGCGCAAGTTCATCTTGGCTTCTGAAGGATGCGGAATGGAGTAACCACAGAACTCGACATCGGGGCTATGGAGCCATTAGCTGTTTACTCATCTATGCGCTGAGAGTTTTGGCTTACTTCTTGTGGATGATGTATCTCAGCGCGTTGCCTAGCGTGTGGTCCTCGCCATCAAATTGGAAAGATGCTGCCGTCTCCGTCGCACCGGATAGCTAAGACAAATTAGATACGTGTTTCTCTCTATCATTCAAATCGTACGTACGACTCTGATCCTGTCGCGATCGATCGCCGGATCAATCTCCTCGTTGTTCTCGGAGGTAGGATCCAAGATTGGGACCTGCGTGGGTTCTTCTGTTGCGCCTGGCATTTTGGCCTTGTTCCTTGCTCTTAACTTAATGAATAGCGGATGTCGGTCGAGAGATAATGCGTTTATGTGACTGCGTCTGAATGACGATTCTGTGTTCGAGACGTGACTTTGCGATATCAAAATTTTGGGGCGGACTTTGGTTCGGCGATTCGTTGGTTGGCCAGACTTTTCCAGCCCTATATTGCTTGGCGCCATGACGTGGGGCGTGGGGAAGCCCCTCTGCATCCGCTTCAACTTTTTGTCTCTCGACTTTGCCATCCACCATTGACTGCTTTACCAGCTCCCAACACCCCCGAAGCCAGCCGAGGTCAATCTTACGCACACGACCGCCACCATGCCGCGCGCCTGCTGCCTCAACCGCGATACGAACGAGACGAAGATCCAGGTCTCGATAAACATCGATGGCGGCGACCTCTCACCCTACGAGCACAGCGACTTCTGGGCGGCCTACGACAAGAAGAGTCTCAATGGCGATGGCGAGAAGGTAGACAAGGATCACGCTACCCAGAAGTCGACATCCCAGGAGATCTCCGTCGACACCGGCATCGGCTTCCTCGACCACATGATCCACGCCATGGCCAAGCACGCTGGCTGGAGTCTGCGCATACGGTGCAAGGGCGACCTGCACATTGACGACCACCACACGAGCGAGGATACCTTCTTGGCGCTAGGCACCGCCTTCAAGAATGCGCTACAGGGAAGCACGGGTCTGGCACGCTTCGGACACGCATACGCACCGCTCGACGAGGCACTGTCACGCGCTGTCATCGACCTATCGAACAGGCCATACAGCATCATCGAGCTGGGTCTTAAGCGGGAGAAGATTGGCGATCTGAGCTGCGAGATGATCCCGCACTGCCTCCAAAGCTTTGCGCAGGCGTCGGGCACCACCCTCCATGTTGACTGCATACGCGGTGACAACGATCACCACAGGGCAGAGAGTGCCTTCAAGGCGCTTGCGGTCGCTATCAGGCACGCGACAACAGTGGTGAAGCAGTGGGAGGGTGAGGTTAGGAGTACAAAGGGCGTGCTGTATTGAAATTAGGCAGGCCATGAAAGAAATTTGTCAGCGTAACCCTGGAACCATGCCGTGAAGCCACACAAGCTATTACCAACTGTACAAAAGAGCTGTAATTGCCGCCATGTCCATCTATCCGTGTACTAATACGTACATCATTGGGTTGGTGAGTCATTACCCGACTGAACCTATCATCACCGTGCTCTACAGTCCCTATGCTACAGCCACGTATCGACGCTGCAAGATTCTGGAACTGGGGGTTCAGATTCCACTCCCCAGCTCTTGTAGGCGAAGGTGCTGTGAAGACTGTGAAGTTTGATACTTATCGTATAGCGTATAGCATGCACATGCACACCGACTTGACGCTCGGCAGTATCTTTATACCGTACTGTATCTGCTACAACCTGTGCTGCATCATGAAAGCTTTTACAGTCCGTACATGTATTGAGAAGGCCACAACTACATTCGAAAAGTTGGACTATCAGTAACCCAGTTGTTACGCCAAACATTGTCTCCTTATCCTCACTGAAGTTCATTCAAGAGCGAAGCCAGTCTTGATTTCTGCCATTCGAAATCATGCGTCATGCTGTCGAGAAACCTCTATCGCGCTCCCTATTATGGTAGCTTAAAGGTTGCGAAAGCCTTGTCTATACAAGACCACTGCAACCTGTTCATGCCAGGGTACTGATGGTAGCCAGTCCGATACCCATGTTTTCACACTGTCTGGACACTCCAACCCTGTGAGTAGATAGAATAAAACCGCCGCAGCGCTAAGTTGGAAAGTCACAGTTACACCATCTGGTGCTTCCTGTTGATAGCCTGTTCCAGTACATGTGAATGAAGGAATGACTCGATTATCCTTCTTAGTGCGCCCGTCCGAAGCATAGCAAAGCCAATCCCAAGTAACATGTATATCGGGTCCATACTGAACGAGCAGAGCTATTATATGTTGGTATTCAGCTTGATACGGGTAAGGATTGAAGAGATGCCAAAGGAGCAAGTTCTCCAAAAAGCACCTCCATGGGGTTGTGCCTTGGAAAGGTTCATTCAGATCAGCGCCATGCTCGAGTAGCACTCTCAACACTTGAACACGTTGATGAACTGATGACGGGTTCGTCGAAAAACTCCAGAGTAGAGACACTAGCAGAGGTGGCCAGGCTTTTGTTCTGTCCGTGGCCAGGTCCGGATTCTGCCGCAACATAAGCGACACATACTTGGATGCGGAATAGGCGATGGCCACGGCGAAAATGTCGGGATTAAACTCTTTAGAGACAAATCCCATGATGATAGCCTTGAGATTCATCTCCTGTGTGAGTGGCAAATTAAGGAAATCGTCAAGTTTGGACCAGTGTGCTTTCATCTGCTCTTCCTCTGTCTGTTCCACAATTGGCACTAAATATTGCAGTAAAGTGCAGAGCTTGTGTTTCACATCCATTGGACCTTGCTTCCCGAAGTGAATGCCGATATCTTGAATCGAACCAAGCGTCCATGCGATAGATGCCTCTGCCTTGAGAGCGGCGATCGATGCTTGGGCACAAAGCTCAGGCATTTCGAATGCCATACCGGCTTCGGTCATGATCTGGTGTCTCATATCATTTCTGTCAAGGAGTTCTGCCATAGATCTGTGTGCTAGTCTGACACGTTCGTGGCTCAGCTTTGACATCTCGATCTCGTGCTGGGATCCATGGAACGCATCGCTCGCAAAGCACTGTCGGCATTCTAACAGTCCTCTACTGCGCGCGTTGAATCTTTTACGAACTGTGGCCGCAAATAATACCATGTCTTCACCTTTCATGAACTGTTGAAGGCTTGGGGCGTTTAATATCTGTTTGCGACTTTCATCGTCCAAGTAATGGTGTGTAAGAAGTTCGTCCCGGCCGGGCATTGTACATAGTAAGAGTGAGCGAGCGGTGTTTCTGCGATACTCAGGCTCAATAGTTGACAGTATGTGCATGTACATTTCATCCAGTTCGCGGGGAAGACGCATCAGCCGCCCTTGGAGGTCAGAAACACGGTCCGCGTTAGCCAACCCGTTGAGCAAAGAATTGCATGCGAGGTAGACCCAAAGGAAGACTCCTTCCGCAGCGGAGGTGATATTGGCAATGAGAGTTGCATAGCCAGAATCCTGTGATACGAGTTGCGCAAACGCAGGGTGTTCGCTCAGCGTGTCTTCGGTATATGTTTTGATGTCCTCTGAGGTCAAGTCGTGTATGGGTATGCAGAAGTCTCTATCCTTTCCCAAATGTATCTCAAACTCATTTAGGGGTCGACTAGCCACGCAAAGCTTTGCTGAAGGACTTGCCTGCATAGCGCGAAGCAGACGTAGTAAGTCTTGTACATCTGGCGCCGAATTTTTACGTATCTCTGCACGGTCGTCAAATTCGTCGAGGCCATCGATGATGAACAACATAAATATGTTGAAGCTAGGCGCCAAGTTGAAAAGATTCTGGCAGCCGTTCCACAAGACGTCCTGTGGAAATTGAAAATCTGTCCCGGCGTGCGTCCACTCGCGTCGTGGAAAGACTTTCGGGATGAGCTGAGGGCATTCCTTAAGAGCCTGGTAGAGTATTGATTGCAACAATCCCCTGAATGACCGTTGCAGAATCGTTCCTTGTCTCCAGAGGTAACAGTCGATGACGAGCAATGAGCGCGATCCCAGCCAGGATTGACAATGCAATCTCAGATCCGGGTGAGTAGCAATGAACTGACCGATGCGAGGATATGAAGTTAGTGTACGAACCGGACATTCGATATGTTCAAGAACTTACCTTAATCAAAGTACTTTTCCCCGCACCAGGTTTTCCGTACACCCAGAACACGTTTCTGTTAGCATCGTCCAGCCGTAACCAGTTCTTGAACTTGTTTTTGTGAACAGATCCAAACAGGTCTCCAGCCCCATCGAAGATCCAACTAAACGTGTCTTTATGCGCTCGCTTTACTTGATCGGCTCTACTCCTGAGTTCTGAGGAATAGAGTGCGTGTAGACATTGCCTATTCGCCTGGGAATCTTGTTGATCTTTGAGCCATCGCTGTAACTCTACCACGAGCTCTGCTGTAGTGTTCGCGGTGTTCGAGTTGTTTTCAGTTACTTTGCGAACCCTACTCAGGTGCTGCTCGATGATCTTCATGTCATGGTCGATGGAGAAATTGTGTGACGCTATCTTATCGCCAAGGTGGTCCACATTGCGATCTATGTTCGGGATGTGGGTCATGATAATGTGCGCCTTGAGCTCTTCTGATAGTCGGTCAACCTTCGCCTGAGACTCGTACAGCTGGCGCTGCTTGCGCCGTGCTTTGAATGCTGCAGCCGAGGCATGAAGGAAGGTACGGGGACCCTTCAGTCGAAGCGAATCCAAGAGAGCTATGTGCTCGTTTATAGCGACCTCGCTTTGAACAGCGAGACTCTGGATAATATCGCCGTTGTGATTTTGCTGCAGGTCCGCAACATCTCGACGTAGGATCTCCACGGCTGTACGTAGATCTTCGTGGTCTTTCGGTAAGCCGCTGCGAGAAGTTTGGATCTCCTTTGCGGTTGCGATGATCTTTCGAGAGAGTTCGGCAATTTGTATAACATTACATGCCAAAGAGAAGGCAGCCACACCCTCCATGGAGAAGCGATAGTAAAATCTTGTTCAGAGATCGTGAGAACAATGGAGTTGTTTTGTGAATGTGCCGGTGTCTGCCAGGAATGTCCCACTGGAATGATAGATGTACTCTTGCTACTCACATGACAGCTGATCAGCGGTTGAGATTGTGGCTGCGGCACAGCATGAGGGGTCGGCACATCAAGCGTTATGATACGGCAACAATCCTTGCAAGCTGCATTGTCGTCCGGCCTGCCACATAATATAGATAGGTTCGTATTTCCTGACCTGTACCGCTACGCAATTTACTGTTAGCTTCGTGGTTCCTGGTCGTATTGTGGTGAGATCAGAGATGCTGATAACTTGATGTACCCTCTTATTCGAGTATCGCATCAATCAATACGAGCTGCTTGATTGACGGGACTGGGGTACTTCATTGGATAGCGACACCGAGATACTACCGATTGGTACTTCTGAATGAAATCCTCGGAATGATGTTTGTTTAGGCCTCTATCCCTCACAAATCTGTACGCGGATCCAGCAAGAGAGTCGAACCCCTTCTTCGAATTTGATGCATATCCACAGTCAAATTGGGAAGTAAGTGGCAGCATGAAGTTGCGCAAACGTAGCAAGATAATTTGACCAGCGTCCATCGGTTTCCCATGGCGAAAGCGGGACCACAGAAAGATGAGGTCCATTTATTGGTGCATGTGCTGCGCGTCGCAGCATCAATCGTGCATGCGGGGAGACGTGTTACTGGCGGTGTCATCATACACGCGACTTCTCCAAATGCGTTAACGCCTAGTGTCTGCAGAAGGCGCGCTGTGTGTCCATGCGGCTTCGAAAGTGGAGATAGGAGAAAAGGGGACGCTGCGATGCGACGCGCCTCGAGGTTGCAGGCAGGACTATGTGGAAGGACCAGTCGGCCTGCGCTAGCCCGAATGAGACCCGGAATAGAAGCCGCGTCAAACGAACACGGTATCTCCAATGCTTCTGAGGAAGTTTACCCTTATAACCACCTGGTATGGGGTTTAAAGACTCCATATCGAGAGTTCGTACTTCGACATAGACTCTCGCGCGCGTGGTGTCGGAAGTGAAGACGGTAGAAAGGTTATCAAGGCTTAGAGAACCGTGGCTGGTCCGTTTAACGATCAGCCTGAGCTTCTGGTCACGGATGGAACGATACTCAAAAAGCTGATGTTGTACTTTCATTGTGCTCAAGGATATCTTTAGTGGCTCAATGACGCCTGCAATGCAATAATACCTGTGTGAATCCAGGCTAATGTACAGAATAATAATGCTCAAAACCTGGAATAAATGTATGAGATGGGTGTGATCGAATTCTGGAGCGGGAGACACATACCTTATCTCATAATTACCCGCTCTTGTCATGTAGCGCACCCACTTTACACTGCTGTAGTTGCTCTTCTCAAACACCTTCAGGTATCGCACAAGTAGCCCCGAACTCGTGAACATCAACAACGAGAAGCTCAGATTGAGCGGTGGTCGGGACCACGCCTTCTGGTTGGTCATGCTGGTCAGGCTGGCCTCGGCACTCAGCACAAACTCGCTTTGCCCTGTGAATCTCGGTATCTTCCAGACGATGTTGTTGTGCTCCGGCTCGTACTTGGCTTTGCCTTGTGATGTCCGCTCGGTGATGCGCGCCGTGTTGAGGGGTGTTGGTATCCGCACGACAACGTTTGTCGCGAAAAGCTTGGAGCCATAGTTGGCGCGAATGGCGATGCTGTATTCGACCTTGGTTTTGCCAACCTCGTTGACAATGGCATGCACCTTGAAAGGCAGGTTTACGTTCTCGGTCGCTCGGTAGCGCATCAGCTCGAACTCGCCGTCGGGCGGAACAAAGGATATTATCCTGTCCGCATCGAACTTGCCCAGCTTCACGCACTGGTGGAATTGGCAGTCTTCCAACGTCACACTTCCCGCTGCTGCCCTTGTAGCCTTCGCGCCTGCCTTATTTCCAGATGGTTGTTGTAGATGATCTTCGCCCAGCGTTAGTCGGTCGTTGAGACCGAACTTGCACTCGGGTGTGCCCGAGAGATATGCGCGCATTATGATCTGTCCGTTCACGTCGGCTCGCAGTACTGTCCCCGTCGCGGACATGAGCAGGTTGACGTCTTCGATAACATCGACGAAGGCTTCGTTCTTGCGGTACTTGATATCGGCCCGCCGCCAGGAAAGGGCACCAGTTGCTTGCATTGTGATCTTCGAGGAGTCCTCCTGTGATATTGTCAGCTGTTGTTGCTCTGGTCGCGCTCGATGTGACGTACCATTGCCCTTTCCGACTTGACACCTTCAGTTGTAATGTACATCTTCAACGTGTCTGTCTCTGTATTCTGTGGGTATCCAAAATCCAGAATCTCGTCCAGTAGCTCATAGACCAGTACGAAGTTGTTCTTTACGGCCTCCTCGTCGAACTTGCCGAAGTAAGCCTTTCCTAATCCCACCAAGCGGTACAGAAACTCAAATACGAGCGCAGCATTGGCATTGCTCTTGGTCACGGCGACCAGGTATATGTTCTCGTGTTTGACATGGCTAAAGGTGGTGGAGCCAAGGGTGAGGATGGGCGAGCGTACTTGGGCGTTGGAGATGACCTGAATGCGGAAGACATCGGCAAGTCGCGGGCGGCAGTCGTTGCGGAAGGCGCGAAAGATGAGGTTCTCACCCTTTTGGTTGAAGATGAGAATTCCAGAGAGCATGGCAGCGACGTGGAAGGGGACAGCGGTTGTCGGCAGGGAATTGGCTGGCTTCGGCGTGTTGATGCTCGGAGCTCCACCCACCACGCCGCCGCGGGATTGAGCTTGGACCATCTCGCTTGTCGCAATTAGGGGTCTCAGGGACGGCTTGCATCCTCGTCGTAATCAGGGCACGCCATCCAAGTATCAATCGAAGTAGCGATACAAGAGCTTCAGCAGTCTCTCATCCGGAGTGCTACGATCAACTCTGCCTGTATTCGATGGCTAGTGAAATATCTCAAACACACGCTCGCAGAGACAGGCCCTCCCTAGCTATCGAGAGCTGCATTCACTCACATCGGTACGAATTGAGTACGACATAGACTGTGGATTCTTAAGGGACCGAGTCCATCAAAGGCTGCTGTGGGAATGACTTTTCACCTTCTTCAGACTGGATTCTACACCGTTTGCTTAACCATCAGTATTACCAGACCATGGCTTGAGCGTCGGAAGTTTCTGCGGATCCAGCTTTGCCATCAAAGCAGTGTACTCCTCCGCAGTAAAGCTTCTCTTTATCTCCTCCATCCGCATACCAATTTCATGACGCTGGTGGTATAGGGTTGCGTATTCTTCCTCCAACGTGGTAAACTGATTAGACGCAGGTGTACTAGGGAACTCGCCTCGAGGCTCTGGCGTCTCTTCTGTCGATATACCTGACATTGGACTACTGCGTCGTCATTATATCTTCCGAGCAAATTTTCTCAGAATGTTACTTACCGCATACTTGACTCTTGAGGTAATTCGACGGTAGTCGACACCAGACGTGGCGACTTCGACATGTTCTCCGGTCGATTCGGCTTTCGAGACCTGATTTGGTGTTCGAATTGACCTCCTGAACTTGGCTGAGGGGGAAAGGAAGCTCTAGAATCTTGCCCATACGGCTGTGTTGTAGGGAAAGGCGTTGCACCGTAGGCACCAGGCTCAGGAGCTTGGCCATACCCAGAATACGCTGGACCTGATGTGATTTGAGGACTACCAAAGAATGAATTTGAATGGGGATGTGGGGGGCGGTCATCCGGTATCGTAGGACATTGAGGTTCCTTACGCCGTGGATCTTGGACAAAGTTAGGACGGTCTCGACTGTTTCGTAGGGACTCCCCCTCACTTTTGCCGCGCCCGGTCATGTTTTCGTTATACTTTTCCACCTTGGGGTTGTGCGTTCTGGGGATGAGCGGCTGCGAACTGTCGCTTTCAGGGGTACAGGGCGCCGCAGTGGTAGAGCTCGCACGGGTCTACTTTCGGACGGCTTTCACTGCCTTGACTTGCGTCTTTGAACAAACGAGATCATTACAGGCGGCACGCAATACTTCCTCCATTTCTAAGTAACTCTGTATTCATCGTTGAACTTGCTCGCTCGCTTGCATTAGCTCACGAGGGGTGAGTCTACAAAATCGCAACATGCGAACAACCGAGGATTTGGTTCACTTCATTTATTATCTTTACACGTATGGAACGAAAGACGATCCCGCCACCTCTTCCGCCACCTCGGCGTGCGGTTCACATGACATCGAGCGCCTCCAATAACCCGGAGATCTCCTCTACAACTTCCTCAACGCACTGTCCAGCATCTACAGGTATCACATCCGTCTCTGATACATCAGCCGTCTCCCAGATGGCCAGCTGACTCTCCACCATATTGTCTTTCATGTAATGACCACCTCTTCCTTTCGTTCGACGCACAAGCTCTTCCGGCTCGACTTGCAAGTCCACAAACACAACCCGTATCTGTTCATCCATCAAACCCCGGAACTGATCCCGATATGACTTCTTCAACGCCGAACAGGAGACGAATACGCGCTCGTGGTCTTCCTTAGTCACTGTATCGAGCGCTCGCTGTCTAACGCGCGCGAGCCAAGGGGCGCGAGCGACGTCATTGAGGGGAGTACCGGCAGCCATCGATACGATGGCTTCTTCGGTGTGTAGTTCGTCGCCCTCGATACAAGGTGCTTTGAAGTGAGTGCCGAGGCGTCGTGCGACAGTGCTTTTCCCGCTACCACAAGGCCCGGCAACTACAATGACAACGCGTCTCATCGGCTTCGCGACTAAAGTAGTACGTATCTGCCAGGCAGCACTCTGGAATTGTCTGACAAATGTCTTCACAAAGGCTGCATCCAATACAGGCGCTGTCTCGAGAGAAGGCGAGAAAGCTCTGGCGACAGTGGTATCATATGTACGCGAGGGACCGAAAACGTCCTTGTCGTACTTAGATGCGAAGAAGTCAGCAAGCTTGATGGGTGGGTTCGCTACGGCATCCTGATTGGACTCGCGAAG